TACGAGAGATTCTCCGGATGGATACTTCTCCAAGAAATTAACTATAATATGGTTGACACTCGCTCCCCACATTTTCAATTAATAAACAATAAAAAAATAAGCTGATCAAAGAGATGTAAACTATGGTTAGACTATTGACTGTTTTGCCCTTTTTAAAGCTTCAACTCGAATGACTCATCTTGCTTTCCTTTTCACTAATATTCCAGGGTAAATTAATAATAATAAATTATAATAACAGTATTGTAATAGACAATAAAATTAGTTTTGAGCTGTGGGTTAAAAGTAAGTCTCAGTAACCCAGGGAAAGTTTCTCAGTGGATTTGGTACAGAACAGAAATATTCATCAGCACACGTTTGTGCAAAACACCCTGCAACGCACCCTGTCCCAGCCTTCACACACCAGTTCAGCTCACAGTTACATAAAGACACATTTGTGAGAAAAAGGTGAGCAGCAGAGGAAGAGATGTGCTGCACACAGAATGCCACAACAGAGGAGAGCAGCATTTCCACCGCCGGACCTCTGCAGCCTCCCCTACCTGCTCCGAATTAGGGCAAGAACGTGGAGCAGCCATTAGATGGCAACAACCACAAATCGCTTCCTGACCCTCCTGCCTCTGACCCAGTGACCTAAAACAATCCACATAAAATACAGTCTGTTTTATAGAGGTCAAAGCAAGCACAGACCTTGCTTTCCTGTGCCAGTGTGCTTTTTAAGCGAACAGAGGGCCATCAGAAACCCTCCTCTTCAAAGAAACCTGTTTTGGGAGCCAGCGTTGGGCATCTCCCACAGCGCTGCCGCAGGGGACGTCACCCTCAGTGCCCATCACGGACCAATTCCTGAAAAAAATCGTTCCTTCAGAGGTGCAACAAAGACTGATCCTGATAAGATGTCTGCAGCTTGTTCTAAAGACTTTAAAAGATTTAAGTGCATCAGGGAAATCCTCTGAAAAAGGTTCTATTAGAAGTTGTTTAAAGACTTCAGGAAATTTCTTCAGCACTGATAAGCAGCAGTTATGGGAATCCAGCAACTTCATTTTGACACTCTTCTATATTTATTCATCTTTTTCTGTTTATATTTGTTCCATGAATTCCGAGTATGAAATATTAACTTTAGAGGCTTCTTTGGCCTATATTCTTTTCTATAAATCCAAATAAAGCCTAGATTTTAATAGAGAAGTTCAATGTAAAATTTAACTGTTTTGTACTTGTCAGGACTGTCTCCACCACACACAAACAAACAAAGAGTTAAAATGATGTTTTACTTGCATTTCCTGCCTATTCCCATAATTGATTTAAAGGATACAGCTACTACATGTTTTCTCTACCACACAGGCTCTTCTTCACATTAGACAATATTTGTTCCGCTTTAACAGAAGGAGCAAACAAAACCACTCATAAAACTGCCTTCCTGCCAGTGATATCATAGTCTGGCAGAACCTGTGCTGGGAAAGGCGTCCTTCACGTAGGTTGATAGAGGACATCTACAGGAATGTGTAAAATACGTTTATTTTACATGCACACAGCAATACACACAAGGCTATACACAGAGAAAAGAAAATAATGTTGCAAATAACATCAACAGAAAAAACCCCATATTTTAAAAGTTCACCAAATCCTTAAGGACAATACCTACTTTAAAACTCAACTTGAAGTCAAAGGGGCAGAGACTTAGTGAACAATCACACAACAAAAAGCACACTTTGATATTAGCAATAGAGTGACAGTTGTTATCGAGCCACCAGAAGGCATTTACATTCTGCTAAGTAATATATTGAGTATGAACAAATTTCCGTAAGATTAACATTTTCTAATGTGTGTTCAAGCATAAAATAACTTGGATAAAATATTAATCCCACAGGTGAGAACTGCTTACGGAGCTCTTTTCATGGAGAATCACCTCTCTGCAGGTGGACACCATACATAAATTTATGTGGTGTTTTACTTATTTTTAGCACAGACGTCGCCTAAGCGGGTGATTGGAATTAATGGAAATGTCAAAGTAGGAAAGTGTGCAGTTCACGGTGTGAGTTATCAGCAGTTGCCACTTTCCTGTCTGCTTCACCGGGAAGAGAGAATATTATCATAGACTCATAGAATGGTTTGGGTTGGATCATCTGGTTCCAACCCCCCTGCCATGGACAGGGATATCCTCCACTAGATCAGGCTGCTCAAAGCACCATACTCCTAAGGTTTGGTGCGCAGCAGTATAAAAATTATGTTACAGTGATAGAAAATGCCACAAGGTCTATTTTCACCTGTCTATGGAAAGAAAACGTAGAGCCGTGAACCTGGTCACCATGATGCAGTTGCTAAACTGTCTTGTGAAGGAAGAATGCTTTTTTAAACAAATAGAGGAATACTGCACAGCACTAGACATCATATGGAAATAAGACCGTGGTGGCTCACCTTCATTTTCACTGTATAAACCCTATTCAACAAGTATTTCAGTGAACCAGCAGCAGAACAGCTATCAAATACACAGAGCCACCTCCTCCCAATCTTTAGGGATAGAAAATACTAAAGGGAGTGGATACAGCACACTGGAATGTCTAACAAGCAGATGATGTGGTTACTTACCACCTAAAAAAGCATGCAAGCAGTGATACGGTTGAAAAGGCAGAAAAAGGAAGACCAGAGAGTGCCCTGAACATGTGTAAGACTGCTTTACACGCAGCATTTCTTTGGATAGGCTCATCACGTAAGCATAGGCTCGTTAATCTATATCCAATTTGGAGTAACTGTCATGGAGGGGAATGCTGGATTCCAAACCCTCGCTTGTGCTGAGGCTAACACCAGAAGACTAGTCTACATCTCAGTTACACACGCTCGCAGTTCCTACATCGAGCAAACAGGAAGTTATTTATAGGAAGCTCTGCACGGCGCAGATTGGGAAGGAGATCCCTGACATGACCATAATGCAATCAAAACAAAAGCTGTGCAGCGACATTCCTTTTCATTATAGCATGGTGCTAAGGTGGTGCCTCCAGTTCTAGATAATTACTTTTAGCCTGTCACACAGTCTGAATGCTTCAAGTCCAATATTAATTTTGAGATAGTGCCTACAGCCCAAATCAGTGACAGACTCTAGCACACCACGGACTGAGCACACGCAGCTAAAAACCAGTATCCCCAATACTCAAAGACAAAACATGCATCATCTCCTGTAACTGCATTTTTTTAAAGCTTGACATGAGTAAGAGTAACTATCTGGAAGTCAACATGCTGAAGACAGCAGCTTTTCCCCAAACATCAAGTATCTGAACAGCTGCCTGGCTAGCTTACAAGACACCATTTTAACCACAGCAGCTCTCACACTTTATAACTTGAGACATTACACCAGCCAACCAGAACCACTGGACCTACTGATATATTTTCAAAGGCAATACCATGGTCTTCAGAGCTGAAACACTGAGTGAAATGGGATTTCCTAATAAAAGACAAACACCATCCCATGGCTATGAAAGCACCTGCCAAATCTAACAGCATTACGAGAAAGAAGGTATTAAAAGTTATAATCAAACCTACTGTATGATTTAACACGTAATGGAGCAAACAACGCCAGAGCTGTACTGTTACTAGTAGTCTTTTCTTCTGCCAGTCAGGTATTCCAGGCCATAGGAGGAGTCAAAAATCATTGCTAAAGAAGAGACTGCAGACCTTGCAATCCTACCGGTATTTCAAAGAGAGACCAGAGCTGAAGGTTTAGGAGGGTACTACATCAGCAGAGAGAGAGCAGCAAAAAAAAAAAAAACACCAAAAAACAAACAAAAAAAAAACCCAAACAACACAAAAACCCAAAAGGAAGGTGGTAAAAAGCGTTTCACTAGAACATGGGACTTTTTGCCTGGAGATTACTTGCAAAAATGTCTAAGGAAGGTACCCAAGATAAAAATGGATTGTCAACAGGCTTTGAATTGCTACACAGAGTTCAAAATCTCCCTGGAAAATTCCTGTGGTATACAGAATTGGAAAGGTCAAACCCCACTAAACCAGAAGAAGCCACAAGACATTTCCCGTGTAAAAAAAGAGAGAAAGAAGCAACCATAGCACTTCTTCAGTAAAATAATTCAATTCTAATTGTGTGACAATATGCAGAGCAATAATTGTGAAGTTCCAGTTTCCAAGCAACCCTCATGCTTCAAGAAAAAGGACTGAAAATATTCTAGAAGAAAAAATCAGCTAGCAGTACAGCGATCAAATATAGAAATATACCTTTTCTGATTAAGCTAAATAATTCCTAATTGAGAAAACCTTTGGGAAAAACAAAAAATTTAGTTAGTAAAATTGTGAGAATCATTTTTAACCAAGGAAAATGTTTATGTATGAGGCTCCCACTGGCTAAAGTAACTCAGTAGTAACAGCAAAATTTTAAACATAAATAGCCCTAAAAAAGTAGAAATCTACAGAAATCCAGATTTTCAGCATTATTCTAGACCAGCAATAGTCTAATTCTGGACAACTTAGAGGCGACTGCTCTCCAGATCACTATGTTCTGCTCACTGCTGTGTGGCACTCAAAAGACACATGACAGAAAGAGAACCCTCTCTAAACTGCCATGAAAACACCCATGCAAGCTCAGATCCTGATGTAACTGTTAACATTTGGAAGTCCCCACCACAACAGCCAGTGGAAGGCATGCTACCATAAAAATTCTTCAGGTACAGATGCTTTGTAAAATTCTAGACCTTTCATTGTATGTTAGCTTTTCTTCTTGAGAAAGATTTGAAACAGATTGCTCCTAAGATCTTACAGACACTTCCTCACTCCAAACAACCATATCTCCACTGCAGAGGAGTGTTCCTCGCCGGATAAAATGTAACGGCAAGGAAAACAACTTTTCAGAATGATTGGCTTATTTCACTATATTGCATACATGTAAACATCAGTAGAGAACAGGCTGTTCCAAATAGCATCACCTGTGCACTTTCACAGTAGCTTATAAGGCAAAAGAATACTTGGGCAAAAAAGAATTATAGTGAAAGAAATTACGTTTTATTTACCTTGATGAGTCATCGTGACAGGTTCTTCACTGGATATATTGTTGTAAATGACCACAGCTGTGGCATTATGGGAAGCTGCTCGCAGTATTTTCTCTCTAAATGTACAGTTTCCTCGCTGTAGTAAAGCGATCCACTGCTTGGTGTTTGGTGGAACTTGGAAACGTGTTCGAGGGTCACAGCCCAGGCGATCTGCAACTGAAATGGGAAATACATTTGAACAAATTGCCATCTGTGTAAACAGGCAAAAAAAAAGAAAAAAAACCCAGCTCCAAGTTTTGCTGAATTACTTAACTGTTACGCACTGGGAAACCGCTACCCTCTTGTTAATAAAGCCAAAAACCAACTGCATTCGTATGAGAAAAAGTCTTCAGATAAAAGCCTCACACACTGAAACCTGGGACTATATGCCCAAGCATCAGGCTCGCTAACACAAGCTATTTTTAACTCTAGTGCAGCTAGAACAATGAATTTACATTTGAATCAATACCTGCCTGGAGCGTGAAAAACGTTAGAATATGGTTCATACGTTACAGGCATTTACAAAACAGCTGTTTATCAGTCATGCTGGGGAGTATAACTTTTTTTTTTCTTTCTAATGCAGTCATAAATATCACTGCAGTGGGAAGTATAACTAAACAAAGGAGGTTGTGAAAACAAGATTTCCGAGTTCTCTGCCATGTGCAGGCTACTGTAAAAAAGGACGATACTAAAAGCTGATCTTGTAAAACCCCAGCAGCCAACGGCAGCTTTTTCCAGATGCACATTTTGCCTACAAGGAAGTGCCTTCAAGTTCATAGAGAAACAAACAGTTTTGCAAACATGAGGCAGTCAAGCTGTCAGCTGAACAGGTATCGATGGCATAAAGCAGGAGTAAGAAACGGCAAACGCCAGATGTCTGAATTCAACAGTACGCAAAACTCTTCTTCTGTCCTCCCTGCCACTGTAATGTACCCTGGAACAACCCAAACCCACACAGAGCTACGGACAAAAGGCACAGAATACAACACAGAGGATAACTTCACCGTACAGCAGCTGAAACTGATGGAAAACATTTCTGTTTGTGCAACTGGAAACACACAGTTTAGTCTGACACACTGGTCAGGTCATGAAAGGATTTCAGAAATTTAGAGCCAACAGCAAATTACAATATAAAGACATTCACCCTTGCAAATGGCACAAGAATCTTTGGCTACTAAAAATGGTTGGAATAAAAAGTGATTTTCCAAGACAAACAATTTATTTGTGTAATATCTCTAAAAACATTACAGATCCTAAGGGCAATTCAGCTGAAGTGTCCCATAAAATTTTCTTTTTGAACAAGTGAGTTCTTCAGCACAGCCTATGGGATTTCAGTAAAAAGTCTCCCCAAAAATTACCCAGTTTAACATGCTAGCTGGAAACAAAACAAAAGATCTTTTTAAGCATTTTCAGCTGAACATAGCTCAGGTTAAAACCTATAACAAGGGAGATTCAAATAGCTAAAAGATCTTTTCTGAAAGAAGAAAGAAAATCTTTTGCTTTCTCAAAGAGAACGAGTGCAGCTGAGTCTATACTGTGGCAGTGGTACAGGAAGTCGTTGCATCTCTTAATTCGGACAAGAAGTGCCTCTCCCTGTTCCCCTGGGAGGAGGGTGGGGAGCCAGATACAAGCACATCCTTTCCACCATTGTTTTTCAGGCTGTAGTAGACATTTCAGACATGGAGGGCTATTTGCTGTATTCTTCTATTTGTGCTTTTGTTTTATAAAGGGATCAGGGAAAATCTGAACTACAGATGCCCAAAGTCAAATTTTATAGAGTATTTTCTTCCATTACCTTAATATTATTATTCAAATCCCTTTGGAAATTGTAGAGTACCACTGATCCACACACATTGTGGAAAGCACCAGCAGACTGTCACGGTAAGTTTCTCAAGCCTTGAAAGATAAAAATCCCATCCTTGTCCAGTGAAATCACATTCAAGAATCTCAGGTGTGACACATCCTTTGGAAAATACCATTCAATAAACGGCTACAATTCCACAGAACCTCCTCACACTGCCAAAATTCACTCTGAAAGGAGACACTGTGGCCAACACAAATGTACTTAAAATATATGGAGGAAGAGCAGTAAACCTATGGATGATGTACTGTTTGCTTCAGTACAATCACATCCAAAACTAAAATACTGAGGAAAAACAAAAATGGCCACAAAAATAGGGTAATGGGCAATTAGAATCAAAAAATCATAAAAGCCATAAAAGGCAAAAGGCACTTTCAAAAGGGAGGCAGCATTCGCAAAAGTCTGTTATACAATTTGGTTTTATAAAAATCCATGTAGGCACCTTTAAATTTGTATTTTTAGCTTAAAGACCAACAGAGAAGGTAGTAAGAGATAACAGAAACTGCATTTGTGGGAAAAGTAGTACAAAATTTTTTACCACAGTAGAGATCAAAGTCTCTCTCAGCTGTGGACAGAGCTATGAAATATCAGTGGATAGAGCAACAGGATTAGGAAATGAGATATTAGGAAATGAGATATTAAGAGATAAAAGCTTTCCAGATATAGACCAACAAACAGCACTTAAACAGATACAGCATGTTATTCCTGACGAGGTGGATTCAGTATGACCTGATGAAAATTTAACAGCTGACAATATTGTTTTAGCACTATTTAAGTAATGCAAAAACACTAGGGAAAAACTGGTTGCTTCAGATAAACCTGAACTGCCTAACTGCAAGTCAGCTGAAATGTAATAAAAATTCACAACTCTCTTTTCTTTACATTAGCATCCTATTTACACCACACAAATGTCAAGGAACCTTTTCATTTCTAAGTAAATAAAATTCAGGAACAATAGTGGAAAGTGAGGTTTTCTGCTCTTCTTTTCAATAGCCTTAATACACTCTTTTCAGAGTGGAAGTCTAATAATCACAGTCACCCTTCCCGCCAGCGAGCTGGCTAAAAAAAACCCAACCATCTGCTATACACCTAATGCGCCTGGTGCATCAACTGCCACCGTAAGGGACACAGATAAACGAACAGTGTCAGCAAGAATTGTCATTGATAGCTCTCCATTATCATGCCATCTATGCTCCATTGTCCAAATTCCAATTAGGAACTAAAAGACTAGGGCTTGCAAGTATTACCTGGATGATGTCCATGCTGGAATGAAAAGCAAATTCATATTAAATTAAGGTTACTGCAAAGCAAATCACTTGCACATAAAAAGATATGATCAGAAGTCACTCATGTAATTTCATATTTTCAGAAGACATAAGCATACAGAAAGCTATCTATGTACGTTTCCCTATAGGTGTGCTATTCTTCTGGCTTATCTGAAATTCAGTTATTTACTCTGCCTTTCCTTTCTCCATGTCTAAGTATGAACCACGGATGTGTTGGCAAAAAAACCCAATTTTCTGTTAGAAGTGGCAGCCTGCTGGGTTAAAGAGCTATGTATCATGTTGTTGTAAATCTCTCCCTTCCCACCATAAGCCCCAACACCACAGAAGAGCCTCTTTACAGGAGGTTCAGCTGCGATTTAAGTATCTACAGTTAGGCTGCACATGTGTTTGCAACTTTAGGAGCGCTTCAGTTTCCTCTTGCAGAACACACAGGACGGCACAACTTGCACGTAACTGTTTCTCCTCAAGCATTTTTTTAAATTCAAGAGCCCCTCCTGCAGAAGGACAAAGGTTTGTGGCATTAGTTAATAATGCAATAGACCCAACCAGGCTTCCTCAACTTGCACATTGGCAAGCTTACATCAGAATGGCAACAGCACCTTCCTGCTCATCTTTTCCTACTGCTCAACCAGGTCCTTTAGCCTTCCCCCGTAAGGTGGATAGCCATTTTGTGGGAGCAAAAATTAAATTAATAGGTCAGCTGCCAGAGGCTTTGACAAAAGTAAGCACGCACCTGCCTGAATGCAGCCTGCCTCCTCCCGCTCCTGAACCACGCCTGTGTTTGCTTTCTCTCCTATACCCTACGTTTATGTTGCTGCTGCCTTGCTTAGGATGTAGCTGTGACACCCACTTCAGCCAAGGTTGCTGCATTGACTGTTATCAGACTTTGTCCCCTTTTCACAGAAAAAGGCCAGTGCCATCATCCCACACCCTGTGGGCATTAACTATTTTATTCCAGGCTTTTTTTTTTTTTTTTTTTAAGGCCAGATATCCTGATATGGATTGCATCTCAGCTCATACTACACTCCGAGGCCAGCACCAGTTGCCAGAGCTGGTCTGTCTCAGCTACACATACAGAAAGCATTTTCAAGTCTGACCTTCAATCACTGTAATACAATAGGTGGAGAGAGAGCACCAATATTCAGCAGATCAAGAGACTCGTTGGGAAATAAAGCAGCACATGGGAAGCCCCAGTCCCACGCAGCCTGCGCCCCAAAGCGTTCCCTGCCTCCCGCGGGCACTGCGCAGGCGGGCGCTGGGCAGCACACCTGACCGGCAACACAGACAGCCTTGAGCAACACATTAATTATAATCCTGTGATAAAATTTCCAGAAAAGGAATTCAGCTGGGAAATTTACAGAAGCTGCACAGCAGCGTTGGTTCTTTCTCATTTCAAGGAAGGGAATGAGTTATTTGCCATCCCATTAAGGTTTAATAAGTGTAATATATATATTTTCTTTCAACGCATTACTACTTGTGCTATTATCAATATAGTCCTTATTCAAGCCAGTTATAATTTCCACTTCATAAAAATTGTGTCAATGAATTATGCACAGCGATATTTTATTTTCAAGAGCTATTTCAGGTAATTTCAGGTAATTGCTTTGACTAAAGCTGGCTTTAACACTAAAAGAACGTCTTTGAACAAGAGGTAATCTTGTTTCAGGGAAGAAGTTAAACAAAAGAAAATCACTGAAGCTTAGAAGAGTCCTGTAACAGTTCAGATTTAATCTCGTTAGCTCAGTAAGTGAACTACAATTATAAACACCAATAAACAACCTCTAGTTTTATTATCAGTTAATGACGACTAACTCAGCTGGATACTGAGACCAACGGTAAAGGATGGATGCACGGCACAAGAGTTTTCTTCCCCTACTCCACATTTATCAATACATTTGCCTGTTGCTTTTTCCTAATGCTTATTGTTTTGGATTCTGGGCAAGAAAGGAACACAAAATTCTGTCTGAATATTACCTAAAGCTCTGCAGTTACTAGGAAACTGTCATTTTAAGCCTTCTGCAGCTAAAACTTGTTCACACAACATGTTTGTGAAGTGTCAGGTGCTACAAAAAGCTGTAGTTACCGTACCACGCACAAGATAAACCTCCCTTCTTAACACTGTGCCAATATTGATTTTTCCCTAATTCCACCTTTTTCTAACATATGCTTCTCCTCAAATTCTCGTGTCCTTGCCCAGCCACAACCCTACTACCCCTTCTACCAGCTTTTTCTCAATGCAGCTTTCACACACTTTAGCTTTTCAACCCTTTAGACTGGTCCTTTCCCATTCCCCCTCAACCCCTCACGCCTGACCTATCGGTTCAGAGAGCCTCAACATTTTCACGTTTGGCTCCGAGTCTGCTGCTATTTCACTTCCTATCAGTCCCACCCGCGGTGCCAGTCACCCTGCCTGCCTCCCCACTACCCGAAAGCCAGCCAAGGTGCTCAAAACCTCGCCTCCCAGCAAGGTCCGACCATCTGCGAGGGGACTTGGAGAGCACAGAGGTCTCCAGTCCTCAACTGTGCATAGAAACCGAGAACCACGTGCAGTAACACAGACCCAACAGCTACAGGAGAGTCCTGTTCACCATGGAGGACGTTTTTGAGGGAACTAAGCCACAAAGCACTGCAGTTTCTGTGAAGACTCGTCAAAGTCAGTTTTTGATGGCTTCTAGCTTGGTTTGTCACAGCGAGGGGAATGTGCCTGACACCTGAAGGTCAGCACCACAACTGCTGCCAGGCACCTGATCACAAAGATGCTTAAAAGCAGAGGTCACTAGAGTGGCACAGGGCTGGACACGGTGCGTGTACAGACACCGCCTCGGCAACTACCATGAGAAGTCTGGGCTGAAACACGTGGTTCCAGAAAGTCACCAATAACTGAGGACAGGACTGAATCCAAAATGCTGAGTAACCTCACCAAGGAGATGATATAAACCTGAACTAAACTCTCAGAAAAGCTGCATCAGGCTGCACAGATGCAGTTAGCTATTGTCCTTCCCTGCAGAAGGAGAGGCACACTTTTTGATAATCTGCAGTCACATCCAGAAGCTGTTTAAAATGCTCTTTGAATAAGAAATTATTTAAATCGTAACAAGATTAGCAAGTTAGAGGAAGTAAGAAAAGGAACTAGAAGTGGAAGAACGGAAGAAAGATTAATAGCAAAACTCTTGCTGCTATCGTGCATTTAATGCAGTTGGAAAGATGTGTGTACACAGGTGCTGCATTTACACCCGGAGGCCAACTGTGACCGACAGCTCGCTGGAGCTACACTTCCACAGGTCACATTCACCAGCAGTCATACGAGTTACTGCCATATCACTTCCTGGGGCACACTGCTTTTGAAAGTCAGTATCCATTTCATACAAGGGTCTATAAAAAGAACAGGGATTTAAATACATGTATTAATAACATGACAAGGTTAATTTGATTAAAGAAATTCTGATAAAGAAAGAGGAGAACTGATTGAACACATCATTCTGCACTGAAATTTCAAGGATGGGTAATCACCTGGGACTGGTAACTTCAAAGAGTAGTATACAAAATATCAGGCATATTCAAGAACACAACAAAAAACAATGCAGAGCACAACACTTAAAATCACAGGCTGTGCTATTAGAAATGGTGTGTGTTCAGCAGCAGGTCATTGAATTAAGGAATGAATAAAGGATCTTAACGCAGCATACAAAAATGTGACATTAAGGATATTTCAGCTCTAAAATACAGATACCACAGTTACACCAGGAAGGTGCTAGCAGATCATCCACGTTCATGGAAGTTTCAAGGGATAGCCCATGAATGGGTGAATGCTCGACATCAAAGGAGTTTCAAAGCCAAGGTATCTTCAAACATAGTTGCTAACAGTTGTAGAGTCCTTTTCTTCGTAGGATACATGAGAACTGGGGTAGAGCACTGCTCCAACAGCAGAGGTTGGTGCTAGCTACTTGTGTTAACAGCTATTAGAAAAAATATTTTGCAAACAAGCAGAGCTTTTACTTTCAGCAAGACAGCACTGTCTTTTATCAAATCTAAAGAAGCAGAATAATATAAATGTAAGACCCTTAAGAGTTCAAGAACATCTTAACTAAAAGCATAAAATACTCCAGTCTTTCCTACTATATGAAATATTTTTAAGCCACATGAAGCACACCTCAGCAAAACTCCAATAAAATATTAAATAAATATATATATATCAAAACCTACATGGAACAATTCAGAAGACCTTCAAAGGAAGACAACTGGCGTAGTGTTTGTTTCAACAGTCTTCTGTCGACAAACAGAAGGTCAAAACTGGATCTCCCCAAGAGCTGATGGCAAAGTTTTAATGACTGCAGCATGTCAAAACCGTAGAAATCGAGGTCTGC